GAGTCACGAAGACAATTGGCATACTACATATAACTAATTGCCATGGAAACCCCCACATGGTCTTCACATAATTACATAATGTATCGATAGCATATCCGCAATAATCATCACAAATAGGTAAATAGGCCGACCTTGGTGCCTTCGACCTATTTGTATGGTGAGGAGACTCACCTCACACTGCTAAAGTCCTACATATAAAACTCTAGTTGTTGGTTGACTCATTCCTGAACTATCCACATCAAAACAACACCCAATTAATAATTGGGTTCCAATACACAACCATAAGTCCATGCTTGGGGTAAAAAGATAATTTATCCCCAACATAACTTGATCCAAGCCCAAAGCCCAAACACACACTCTGAAGGCCGAAAAGCCAAATAATAAATCAAGGGCCAACATAAGGCCCAATTTTCCAAATTAGGCCCAATACTTTCCAATGGGCCTTATCCTAAAGCCCAATAATTTTGTTAGTCCATAAACATGTTCCCACTCGGCCCACAACAACTTAGTCCGAGAAATGGCCCAACAAGAACCCAAACTCTAATTAGGGGTTTTCACATAAAATGATGATTAGTGTTAAGTGTTCCTACTTAACCCATTAATGACTTAATCCATTAAGTCCATCATGCTACTAGGTAAATCATACGGTGTGGTCGGGTGTAATTCATAATTAAATTCTAATGGCCCAAAATGTGGGTCCGGATAATTCCAAACTAACAAATCCAAAATTAGGGTTTTCTAAACCCTAATTAGGTTTCCAACCCAATCGTGTGCCAATTAGTCAAATGGTTAGGTTTTTAGGTCAATGAGGGTTAAATAAGTCGAGCACCACCCACTACCACCTCGAGTAGTGGTGGTCAACGGTGGTGGTAGTGGTTATGATTCTAGTCTGAAACATGTCCAAGCAAATCAATTAACAACCCAATCATACATAAATACACACCGTCACCCAACATGATGACTGGTTTCTTGCCAAGTGATTGCTCGCCCCGTTGTCCAAATACCACACATCGTTATCTTGTGAGTCATATAGAGACAACATCACCTTTTTCTTCATTTAAAAACACGGTCTCGTGTAAAAATACAATTTCATCGTTATCGTTACTTTCAGCAAAATTACTCTCTTGTAAAATTTTAATTCAGTTCGGACATTAAAATGTGAAGTGGTGTGGCTTATTGCAGCAATAACAAATAATTTGGGATCAATCATTCTTGGTTTTACTCTTAATTGGGTCATAATTGGAATTGGACTGGTTGTTGGATTGATTAATGTTGGGTTTTTTGTCCTTGGGCTGACTTGGTTTTTTCGACCCATGTGACCCATTCATTAGATTTGATCCGGAAGACCCACTCGATCCTTTCCACTTTCCATTCGCTCCTCCGTGAGACCCTAACGAGCCACCCTAACCAGACGACGAGCCATTTCCTCCAGACGTCGATTTCACGAATAACACCCTCGATTGATCATTCCCATCAGCATCTTCTCCCCTTATTCTTTCCTTGTAGGCCTTCAATCGACCGACTACATCTTTGAATCCAACAGTTTCAATCCAACACGTGTTCCAAAGAGGTGATAATATGAATGAATTTTGCCCTTGGTAGCGATTTCAGAAAATTTCTTCGCCATCTTTGGTTCATCGATCGATTCACCTAGTGTTGCTGCCTTGGATGCGATTTTAGATAATTTTCCAATGAAAGAGTCGATCGACTCTGACTCATTCATCTTCAATCAGTTAAAATCGTACAACAAGTTCTATAATTGTGCCTCATTCACACAGTCATCCCCCATATGCCTAGATTTAATTGCAACCCAAAGTCCCTTAGATGATTCTTGTTCGCCGATTTATATTAAAAGATTTTCAGGTATTGATTGGTAAATCAAACCCATTGCTAAATCATCTTTGTCTTGATTTTTTATAGTTCCTGGTTCAATTATCTCCCAATCCTTATGAATCTTCAATACAAGATTCATTCTTATTGACTAAACCATGTAATTCGTCGACGTGAGCATAGGGCATTGAACATAAGTCGATCCAATCTTCTTCATCCTTACCGGAGCAACTCATCCTCCTCCTTCTCCATCCGACATGTTGACATGGCTCGTCTATAGGTAAGTAATTCGATCTCAAAGCCCTTGTTCTTGGCTCTAATACAAATTCAAGTTCAAAATATGTAAACACAATTAACCAAAATAACTCTTTGATTATTATGAGAAAATCACTCAAAACTCATAATGTTTACAATTGTCTCTCGATGATCATAACTCGATTTAATAACCATGCATTTATAGACCTACATTCTATCGACTTGTAGAACAAGATTAAAACTCTAAAACCGACTTGCTTAAAATCTCATTCTCACTTGGTCTCCAAGTCCTACTTAACTTAGGATTCCAACATTAAGTAGGGATATTGGAGACATATGCCTATTTTTTTAAAATAATGTTTAGTTTATTTTTGGTCACTTAACTTTTAGTTTTATGCTTATTTGGTCGCTTAACTCATTTTAAGTTTTAAAATGTCACCAAATTTTTGACTTTGTGCTCATGTAGTCACCTAACTTTTTGTTAGATCACTTAACTTTTGGCTTTATTCTCATTTAATTACTTAATTTTTAAAATCATGTTGATTTAGTCATTAAACTTTTAAGATAAAGTTACAAAATAAGTACAATTTTAAGAGTTAGATAACTAAATGAACATAATTTTAAAAGTTAGATGACTAAATGAACACAAAATCAAAAGTTAAGTTATCAAACCAAAAATTTAATGACCATTGTAATAAAAGTTGAAAAGTTCAGGAACATTTTAAAATTTAAAACGAGTTAAGTCACCAAATGAACACAAAGATAAAAGTTAAATGACAAAAAATGATTTAAACTTCTCTCTCTCTCTCTATATATATATATATATATATATATATATATATATATATATATATATATACACTAGCCGTTTGTCCGCGCTAAGCGGCGGATGCAAAAACTTTTTTCAGAAATATGTATCGCTGTTAAATGAAATAAAAAAGTTATATAAGAGAACATTTGTTGAATAAATAGATGAAATAGATTGGAGAAGGAGTGAGAATGGATGGAAAATCAGAATAGGGTATTTAGGTATTTTGAACCTTGCACATGTCGCTATTTTTTCCGGCAGGAACAGAAGGTGAAGATAGCAATCAAATCAGTAAGTGATACACGCAAAATACCATGGTTTTGTAAGCAAAATGAATTACAAAGCCACACACCCAATCACATTCACATGAAAGTAGAATGTAAAATCTATAATTTTACCACAAATAAACTCCATATCAATGTCAATACAAATGCAAATAAGTAATAAACAAAAAATGGGAATCAAGAGAAACCTTACTAACAACCGAATCATGTCAAAATGCTTTGAGATGAATATTTCAACTGTAATTGATATTGATTGATGGGTGATTGTCAAGACTTGGCTCCTGTATACACAAGCAAACACACAGTGGTGATATGTTAGGGTTTTCTTGCGAGAGAAAGGAGAGTGTGACACTTCTGAGAAAGGCGGCGACCATAAACATGGGTTATGTGTTCCTCGCCCAAACCAGATCAAAGAGGAGTCATTTTAACCCTAAAATCAAGCCCATGCCGAGTCCGACCTCGAGCAGCAAGTGTGCAACGATGAAATATGTATTGCTGTTAAATGAAAACACAAATCAAGAGTCCTTTTTTTCTTTTAGCAGGAACAAAAGGTGAACGATCTGATGGCGGTGGTCTTTTAGAAATAGGTGATAAAATAGGTTAGAAAATAACGAATTCTAGCTTTTGTTAAAAAAAATAGGGGAAAGAGGCCGAGAAATCAGGATTCAATGAGGCCGAGATCTTAGGATTTAATGAAGACTCGATCATATTAGAGATAAAATGAATTGGGTCAAAAACTTATATGCATTAAGAATTGTTTATGCCGATAAATGGGGAAAAGATAAGGCCGAATAATATACGATTAAAAAGATATGCATTAGATAGTTGTAATTTATGTTTAATATATTGGACACTGGACTATTTAAAAATTTAAGTGGTAGAAAGATTTAATATTATTTTATTAATATTTAATTGTACTTTAAACTTAAATATTTGGACGTCTTAAAAAATATTATTATTTTATTCAATCTATTTATAGAAATATATATATATATATATATATATATATATATATATATATATATATATATATATATATATATATATATATATATATATATATATATATATATATATATATATATATATATATATATATATATAAAAGAGGAGCCAATTTCAAATGGTGTCATACACCTCACTTACCAAGGGGCAACTCCGCCGCTGCCACGGTTACAATCTCATATTTACTAAAAGTAAATTAAGTTGGCGACTTATAAGTATAAATATCACTTTCTCGTGCAAGTTGATACATGGGAGTGAATGTACACTTAAGTTTATGACGTAATACAAGCATAATATGAGTTGAGTTCGTATTTAGCTTCCCAAGAATTTTGCGAAACATAGTTATGTGTCATATTGTTTTATTCTTTAGATGGAAAGAGAGATTATTCTTTCAATGGTAGTTTTGATTTGTTACCTTGGTTCATTTGATTGATGATATGCATGGATGTTCCTTTTCAAAATGATGATTCATATTATAAAGAAATATAACTGAATAATCATATGGCTAATTCAAAGATGGGATATTTTCATATTATGGTAAATATTAAGTTTTTCTAATAATGTTCTCTGTCAAAATATTATATTTTTAAACCTGTATTAAGGGGGGAAAAAGTATTCGTCGAACATTTAAAACTGGTTTTATTACGTTTTTTGGCTGAATTGAAAACATGTGATTGATTGAGGATGAAAAATAAAATTAACCATAAGGAGGATGAAATGTAAACATCTACTGATAATTAAGGACTAATACTATAAATTTACAAAAAGTAAGATTTGAAATCTCGCTCGTTATTGCTTACGGTTAGAAGGAACACACACCATATTCGTTTCATGCAACACAACAGACCGTTGGATTCCCGTCAGTTTCTCCGGTGTTAACATCGCCGAAAGATCGCCGGCCTAGCTTCAACCCCAAAACACCAAGAAAAACGTGAAACATTACGAAGAAAACGAAGCGCACCATAGCTCCGCCTCCGCCCAGAAACCCTGTTCTTCCCGTCGTTGACCCTACAAGTCAACATCATTCAGAATGTCCGACGACAACTTCACGACGGGGGTCGAAGATGGCCTCAGGTTAGCAAAGCGTATATACTTTGGTAATGACCGGTCAGTGGCACCGCCCAAACCTATAACGCCGATGGAGAAAGCTACACGATCGCTATACCCCACATCGCCTATGGTTTACGCCGTAATTTCAAACCCAGCCATCGTCGACAACCCTGACATGCCGAGTTACCAGCCTCACGTCCACGGAAGATGTAATCCGCCGGCGTTGATTCCTCTTCAGATGAACGGAATTTCGTTTGAGGTGGATTGTTATTTGGATACGGCGTTCGTGACAATGAGCGGTTCCTGGCGGGTTCATTGCGTCATGGGAGACGAAAGCTGCAGTTGTCGAATTGCAGTTCCTATGGGAGAAGAGGTAATTAATTTTTCGACTTAGGGATTTCAATTAGGTTTTGGTTTGGTTGCATTAGGTTAATTTTGTACAATTCTGGAATAATATTATATGATTTGGCTAACAGGGTTCAATTCTAGGTGCGGAGGTGGAAGTACCAAGAATAACATACTCAACTCAACTTGCTCCAATGGAAGAAATTGGGGAAAGAGAAAGTGTAGCGCCATCTGAAGAAGGAGGCCTTCTGAAACCCCACATCTTTACTTTAACAGTGCCACATGTTGACGGTGGTTCGAATGTTTCAGTCAAAGTTCGATGGTCGCAAAAAGTAATGTATAAAGATGGTGAGTTCATATTAGATGTGCCTTATACCTTTCCGGAGTATGTCACCCCTGCCGGAAAAAAACTCCCAAAAAAGGAAAAGATACAACTCAGTATTAACTCTGGTCTCACAACCGAAGTTATGTGTAACACTACTAGTCATCCACTAAAGGTATTACAGATTGTATCGATCTTTAATTATTCTTTAATCCTATCATTAAACACTTGATTATTCTTTAATCCAGGAACGAAAGAGAGAACCAGGGAAATTGGCTTTATTGTATGAAGCTGATGTTCTTTCATGGTCAGCTACAGATTTTGTATACAAATACCACGTAAGCTCATCCACCTTATATATTTTTTTATCATAAAAATAAAATCAAGTAACATGATATGTGTTTGTAACATGTTTTAGGTCTCTGCAACGAATTCATTTGGTTGTGTCCTTCTGCAGTCTCCATCAACACTGGATATTGATCAAAGGGATATGTTTTCCTTACACCTATTTGCAGGACCACATAAGGGTAAAAAGGTTTGTGATATTGATATATAATATAACAGTTGAGAGTGGAAGTATATAATATAATAGTTGAGTTTAGAATGGTGATTTTGTCCAATTTATATGATAGATGTGCAGGAAAGAAGTTGTTTTTGTTGTTGATAGGAGTGAAAGCATGAAGGAAAACACAATTGAGGTTACAAAGAATGCAGTGATATCAGCAATCTCAAAGCTTGATGAAGAGGATCGTTTTGGTATAATGGCATTTAATGATGAGACTCATTTATATTCATCGAGTTTAGAGTTAGCAAATAAGGAATCCATTGGAAATGCAACCCAATGGATTGACAAGAATTTTGTGGCGGCTGGTGGTACAAACATTTCAATAGCTCTTAATCAGGTTATTGTTTTTTCACTTAATTGGTGTCGTTATTTGTTAATGATAATAATAATAATAATAATAATAATAATAATAATAATAAACCAGATTATCTGATTTCTTGTTAGGCCATAGAGATGTTTTCCGGGAAAAGTAAATCAGTTCCAATGATTTTCTTTATTACTGACGGATCTGTTGAAAATGAGAGACAAATCTGTGAAGTTATAAAGAAACAACTACAAAACAAAGAATCAGAATTGACCCCTCGTATTAACACGTTTGGTATAGGTATTGCTTCACATTATTAAACAAGTGTTTTTAATTGCAAGTGTGATTGCCTTCTCCTTTAATTTTAGATCTGGAAGATGTGATAAGCTTGCATGCCTTAATTGTGCAGGATCATACTGCAATCATTACTTCTTGCGAATGCTTGCAATGATTGGCAAGGGTCATTATGATGCTTCTTACGATGCAGGTACATAATTCATATTTCATTGTAAAACGATTTACAAAAAACCAAACATGTTGATTAGTTTAATTACCATATTTAGAGTATAAGATCATGCTAATTATCCAATCAAAATTCTCCACATTTGGACACCTTATGAGGAACCAAATATAGAAAACAGAATTACACTCACAACGGAGATTCATTATATAAGTGACCAACTTAAGGAAGTAGGTTTATTTTGAACTTCACTACCAGTTGGTGGGATTATTTATATTCATTAAAGTTAACAAAGGAAATTAATATGTGTTTGATCAGAATCAATTGAAACTGGAATAAAGTCGTGGTTTTCCAAAGCTTCTTCTACCGTGTTGACCAACATTGTAATCGACGGTCTAGACAGTCTTGATGATCTAGAAGTATGTTTCTCTGCATCTCTAATTTCCTCATTTTCTACTACAGTTCCTCGTTTATAAAATACCTAATTACAACTCCAACCCTACAGATCCACCCTTGTACAATTCCAGACCTTTCGTGTGAAAGGCCATTGATCCTATCAGGTCGATACAAAGGTGGTTTCCCGGAAACCCTAAAAGCCAGCGGCATTCTTCCCGATATGACCAACTTCACAATCGACATTCAAGGACAACGGGCCAACGACATACCTCTTCACAAAGTAGGTCTTTAATCACAATTTTACTACTTTCATGTTACGTGATCTCTTTCTAACCATGTCACTGACTTTGACCAGGTGTTGGCGAAAAAACAGATCGAATTCTACACAGCTCAGGCATGGCTTTCAAACGATACAGAGCTGGAGGTGAAGGTCGGTAAAATGAGCGTGGAGACTGGTATTGTGTCAGAATACACTCGTATGATCATCTTAAAAACAGGACCCCCTGCGAAAAAATTCGGGAAAAAGGACGCCGATCCTAAAACAGTAACGGAAAAACTTAAAGTTTTGCATCAATTAGGGCTTGAATTTGGCAACGTGACTGCAACAATTGAAAACATTCCTCCCGGTTTCTTACCAAAGTTGCCCACCCAAACGGAGATGCTGGCGGTAGCCGCCGGAAACTGCTGTGCAAATGTGTTTGGCAAGTGTTGTTGTATGTGCTGCGTTCAAGCTTGTTCCAGAATCAACAACCAATGCTCCATCGTTTTGACCCAATTTTGTGGTTTCGTAACGTGTTTTGGATGCTGTGGATGGTATGAGTAAACATGTTAATGAGAGTTTTACTCGCGAATTGATCTCAATTCAACCTAAAACATGGTGTGCTTCATGTAAAAAAAAATAGATGACATTGTAAAAATGTATACAGGCTAACATGTAGAAAAACAAAGGTGTTGATATTATAAAAGAGTCCAAGGCTTTGGTGTGGAAAGTGGAAAAATCAAAATGGCCCCATCTATAATACAAGTCATTACACCACAACCACAACGGTTGATTAATTACTTGGCTTTCTTTCAGAATTTGATACGGCATGCTTGTACTCTTCGATTGTAACTTCTGAATTTTCCCGGGTCAAATGAGTTCTCCCAATCTCTTGTTCATCTTTTTCGACTCGTACTTCAAGCTTCTTGTCATCGGGCCCCACTTTCGTAACATCTTTTTCGTATTCATCAACTTCAACTTCTTGTTTCTCTTTCTCATCACCAACTGAGAAATGATGGATCGTCTCTTGGATCTTTGTCATGCCTTTCCCGACAGGTTCGATTGCTTGATTTATAGTCAGTCTAACATCCTCTACAACCTAGAAAAAACAGATAGTATAAGTTTTAGCGACACAGAAGGGGATTTATTTATTAGCGACGGTTTGAAAAGAGAACTTACATGTTGACCACCTTCAACAACTATGTCCTGAACACTTTCTTTGACACTAGTCCCAGGAGCCTCAACATGTGTCTCCTTCTTCTCAATATGCATGGGTTTCCGGTTTTCCTCATCTACTTCCACAACTACTTTTGTTTTTTGGGTGGAAAGTTTCCCGTATTCGGATACTGACATATAATGATACTGTTTTGCTGAGAATACAAAAGTATGAGCTATGGCTGCAATGGCCATCTGCAATAAACAAATATAAATATAAAATCCAGACAGATAAAAAAACGAGTTGAGTTGTAGCAAGGAAAGCTCACTTCAATACAAATCAAAAAGTCCTGCAATTCGGTTTGAAATCTTCCTCCATTAGGAAGAATTTCAAGGTAACATAACAAGGCAATCCCGACACCTTGCCACCAAGTTGCAAATACAATGGCTTTAAAACTGATGAACTTTGCAAGGGGTCTTATTGGTTTAAGTCTTTCATGAGTCACATGGTAGAATTTCACTAGACAGTATAACGCCCACATTTGGCTAAAGTTTATAACAAACGCAATATAGGGGTACCTGTACCAATAACACAATATCCATTCTCATTTCTTTTTTCATCGTTTTTTTTTTTTTTGAAAATAAACAGAAATATACTAAAATTTATACATACATACATACCCATAGTACAACTTGAACTCACCATCACCATATACACCAACAAGTGCTAGTATCATTGCCAAAAATGAACATAAGGTCTTCAATATCATCTGATGGAATTACACAGAAACAAGGATTATATTATTAAGGTATATACTATATTCTAAGCAATGGTTTTGTAACTCACGTATTGAACTAGTCCAAATTTCTCAATTTGTAACAATTCCTCCCCAAGGACACGTGGTTGTCTGAAGAATTTGCATAATGCTGTTCTATTTAAATCCAGTCTCACGTCTTTCCCATCTAACAATGGCTTCTTCAGAAGCTTTTCTTTCTCATTTTCAAGTAATTCAACCACTCTTCTTTCACCACCTAACAAGATAATCATATTTAACACTTTGCACAAAAAGTTAACAAAAAAAGATGGATTTTTATGCTTAATTGCTTACCAAGACAGGCAATCAAGTAACTTCCAAATGAATAAAGAGCAAATGCTTCGTAGCAACTTCTTAAGATGTCACAAGCAAGAGCAAACTTGGGTTTCCACAATGACAGAATCTGATTAACAAGAAATCCAAATTTGATCCTAAAGATGTGAATTGAATATGTAAGTTTGATCAAACTCATATTGACAGAAACAATTTACCGAGTCGGTGGCATAGACAGGAACCATAAAGAGAACTGCCACAATCCATTTTTGCTCCTGGAAATGATTTTTCATTAAAGCACATCCAAAATCTTGATATTACAAAATCAAAAATCAACTAACCTCAGGATTGGTATACCATTTGAGATGCTGAACAATTAGAACACTTGATAGAAGCAATGCTATTAGGACAAAACATGCTGCAATAATGACAGCTAGCGTGTGGGGATCTTTATGTGTACTCTCATTCATATAACTACTCATCCCTTCTGCTAACATCTTCCTATAGACCAAGATCAAACACAGCTTCTGCAATTGTGTTTATTTGTTATTGATTGTCAAATATCTAGTTCATAGATGATAAGTTCGGAACTCAGTTTCAGTGCCATGTAATCAGAATTAGGGCATAATGTTAGGTAATTAGAATAAAGTTCATACTCAATCAGCTTTCAGTTATAATTCTCACTAAAACGGCCTAAAATCGACTAACATAAAACAGTTCAATGTGGGGAGAAAGAATCTGCTGTGGTATTCGCCTAGCTAATGCGTAGTAGTATCCTGGTTTTGATTAGAAATGATACAAAATTGTTGTGATTTAGGGGAACCCGATAATTAACTATTAACACGCGAATAAAAAGATGTGAAATTTGGCATCTTGAAAGAAATTGCATTAAGCATAAGAACTGACCGGGTATCGATTAAAGCGCGAAAAACGGTATCTTCATGTTGTGGGAATAGAAGCCCTAAATTCAAAAAGGAGAGTCTATTAAGAACATCATCGTAGTAGGATAGGCATCGAGTGAGGTACGAGGTAGTTCGACCTGAAATGGACGCGTATCGGCATGATGGGGATTATGGAGGTGTGACACGTTGCGGTTATTTTGTCGTCTAAACCCACGAGGATGCCGAAGGCAGGTCCCATTGCATGCGTATCTTTACGCTGTCGTCAGCACTTTTAATGAATATTTACGGGGAAAATGTGCAAAGAAAAAGGATTGGCTAAGGCCGGAGGTAGTGCCACAAAAGATGAGCAGGCGACACGTCCGGCATATTAAGATTTATTCAATTCACCGAGTAAGACATTTTATTACCCGTCCGATTTTTTCGGGTATCGTGTAAATCGGGTCGGGTAAGTCGGATATCGGATAATTGGGTAACCTAATTTTTTCGGGTCGGATAAATGGTACATTTTTTGGGTTCGAGTATACCTGAATTATTTAAAAAAATTTTTTTTTTTTGTAGAGTTTGTACTTTATAACAGGTATTTGATTACACTTAAACTAACTATCATTATTGAAAAACATGAATCTATTTATTATGATAATATGACACTAACAATATTAAAAATAATTGTTTATATATCATCATGTTCCTTAAAACTTAACTGATTTCTAGATCAGTAGCGGAACCAGGTTCAAAGTTGAGGGGTATCCCAAACTGGGTTCGAGTTTTTCGATTTTCCAAACTCGGTTTCAGGTTTAAACCTAAACACATTCAAAAATTTAACTTGTTGAGAGTTAAGAAACTTGTGTTGCTTATATAACAGATGTATAAGAGATATATTTCATGTTATGGCTGATGTGGGATAATTTTAAATTTTTTAAAAAACAAGTTGAAAAACTAGTAAACAAAATAAAATAAACCAATGTAGCAACCAAGATTCAAAATAAAGACCTCAACTTTAAAAGTTCAACACTTATCCACTTGGACAAATCAATACTTGTGCATAATGTTCACAACATTATAATATAATAGGTATAATCTCTATACAACTATAGAAAAGGAGCTGCGAGAATAAAAGAAAATAAATGTTTGCAAGAAGATTTGAACTTGGACCCTCTAGAAACATCCCTTAACACCTTAACCAACTAAACCAATTACATTTTGTATTATTAACTTGCTAATCATATTAATATTATGTATATGTAGACTATATAAAATGAATTTTTTCTAAAAAAATTATACTACCAAATTTTTTTTAAGGGGTATCCCGGGATACCCTGGGATCTATTATGGATCTGCCCATGTTCTACATTATAGTTTTTATTGCAACTAACAAACTCATTATCTTGACGAAACTTCAGAAAATGCCAAAACTTATGGCTACATTTATCTTAAACATTTTAAACTTTTAAATTAAGATCTTTAAGTATTTGTTTTTTTTAACATCTTATTAGATTAAATTAAGTTGTTATAAAAATTACTTGATATCTCAGGTATTATTGACTAAAAAATCTCAATGTTCAAAGCTTGAGTAACTTCGTTTATGTCTCGTTTGTTTATATAAACAAGACTACTAAAGCATGACGTATTTATTTTATTAAATTTAGATAAAATTGTAAAAATGGTCCCTGTGGTTGGCAAAATTCTACAGATTTGGTCCAAAACTAAATGTTGATGCACCATTGGTCCAATTTTAGATACCTTGTGTGGTTTTGGTCCCTATGGTTGACATTTTGTGTGTTTTTAGTCCAAACCCAACATGAAATGATGAATCTGCCCTTTAATGATTCTTTTTTTATTTATTTTTAACTTTTTATTACTATTTTCATTAAAAAATAAAAAGAAAATAATACCACCCTCCCTCTCTCTCTCTCTCTCTCTAAAAAAACCCAAATCTTCAGTTCATTGGTTTCTTTATCAATTTATCTTCTTCATCAGTTTCTTCATCAAATCACATTTTCATCCTACCATCCCATAATACCTAAATCTTCACTTCTCATCTCATTCACTCCTCTTTGTCCCTATTTCATCTTTTTCTCCCTCTAAAACAACAATATGCATATTTGGAAGAATTCTTAGCTCATCATCGCTTTAGTAAGGATTCACACACATACACTTTTTGAAATCGATTGAGAAGTTGAATACATATCAGGGGACGAAATCGATTTCAAATCTGTCAAGAGTCAACCACTTTAAACCCAGTAAACCTTAATCGCTCGATTAATAGGCGTGCATATGTATTTTTGATCGCAGCTCTCAAGGATCCGATTTAAGGGTTGTTTGGTGGTTTGGGAAAGGGGTGAAGGAAGGTGTTTGATTGTGGCTGATTAAGGTGTCTTGGGAGATGGTTTATCAAGAGGAATAATGGTAGTGATAAGTTGTTGGGTTGATAATCGATGATGATTCTTGAAATTGATTGAGATGGTGGGGGTGTTGGTATGTTGAATCAGGTTCTGAAATGGTTGAATAGGTATCACATTATTTGTTTTATCATTCACGGTTTGCTTTACAATTTGTTAATCAATTCTACCTCACATGATGTTGATTCATTCTTGTTTATGTTAGACTAATCTCGATGGTGATTCTTGAATGATTGAGATTTGTTAAAAAAAAAATCTGATAATGGATGAAGGTGATGAAGGTGATGATGGTGAGACTGAATTTGTGTGGCGGTGGCGGTGGATAGATGGTGGTCGATATGATCAGAGAACGGAGATGGTGGTGGAAGAGAAAGAGTGAATCGAGTCTTCCTTTGCAACCATTTTCTTTTCCTAGACCCATTTCTTTGCATCTCTATCTCTCACACAATCTCGTTTTCCTCTCAAAGAAGAAGATGTTCATATGTTTTTGTTTTTAGTTGCAGGTTGTGGAGAAGGAGAGATGATGAACATGCCCTATTTCTTCCTCTAATGAATCACGTAACGCGAGAGAGAGAGAGAGAGATTTTTTCTCAATTTAATTAATGAAAAACATTTGAATAAATATAAAAAAATTAAAAAAAACAAATATAAGAATATAATAGTCTTTTTATGTTGACAGAGACCAAAAACAATAGAAAGATCCAATTTTGGATAAATGGTGCACCAACATTTCGTTTTGGACAAAAACTGTAGAATTTTGCCAACCACAGGGACCATTTTTGCAATTTTATCTTAAATTTATTTTCAGGTGAAATTCAAAAAAAAATTATATATTTCGTGTAATACCCGAATTACCCAAACTCGACCCGATACCCAAATTACGTGATACCCGAATTACCCAAATTTAGTTTGGGTAGGGTAACATGTATTTTTTCTAACATGAAAAAACCCGAATTACCCGACCTGAATTACCTGAAACCCGAAAAAATTACCCGATCAACACCCCTACATTTTATAGGAGTCGTGACTTTATAAAACAATCGCAATATGATCGATTTAGACTCAACTTTATATCGGACCAAATAAGGAGCATATGTTCAAAAAAAATATCAAAATTCATGGTATTTTATTCCTTATAAGTAGAGTAGTATATATATATATATATATATATATATATATATATATATATATATATATATATATATATATATATATATATATATATATATATAAACAAAAGATTGAGAACCAAGGCTAAGAACAATTTTTATTAAAGTATAACAAAAAAACTCATTTTCATCTTTTGTTATATTAGATCTATACACACTATATACACTCTCACATGTTTATCTTATCTCTCATCTCAAACTTGAAGAACACACAAACATTATTACCAGTTAGCCACCAATCACCACCCTTGACTGTCGCCGCTACTATCGGCAAACCGATGCCGCCACTTACCACCGACGAACCTCCACCACCAGATCCACAAGATCAGGTTGGCTCCAGATTTATAATTTCAGCTTCAGATCTACAATTTTCCTCTTCGAATCTACAATTTCAGCTTCGGATCTACGATTTTCCTCTTCAGATCTACAACTTTCTTCTTTAGATCTATGATTTTCGTCTTTAGATCTATTATTTTTAACTTCAGATCTTCGATCTTCTCCTCCAGATTATAAGCTTTGGCGAGCAGTGATAACCACCACTTTCCTCCATCATTGTCATCGTGAATTCCTCTTCCTTGTCGTTACCCTACCACCAACAGAAACATAGATCTGATGAAAATACCTCCACGTCCACTACTGATCGCCACCTGGTCTCATATCTGGAGTCAAGAAGTTGTTTCAGCCTCACTTTCTCTCTCTAAAACACAAAACATATCAGATCTGGTGTGATTTAGTCAGATCTGATAATCGACCTTATCATCACCGACCACCACCTAACATTAACTATTATGCTTTGTTGGAACACCAAAAACGTCACACTCTACTCTAAAGTCCATATCTAGTTCGTCTCCAGATCTTCGACGTCCAGATCTTATGGAATACAAGAAAACTTCACTGATTTTCTTCGTCAGAACAATAGATCTGATGGAATTCATCACCAACAGATCTGACATCCACATCTGATGCTCCCACCGTCAATATGATTCCACATCTACCACAGTTGACGCCGCGCCAATGTTGTTGCTTAAAACATCCCAAAAATACAGTTTAAAATTTTCGTTTTAAATAATTAATAATACCATAATTATCATTCAACATGTAAAAATCATAAATTGTGTATCTCAAGAATATCATAACATCTGTCAAATATATCAGACTATAAACATCCCAGGCTGAATAAATGGTGTGTGCACTGGAATCATCCCGAGCTCTTCTTGTAACGTCCCGTTCCTGGTACACATTTAATTTATTTAAGTATTTATTTTATAAGAGCTAATCCCATGGTCTTTCCTTGCAATGTCGATGGACAAATCCTGGTCTTATACACAAGTGTCATGGGCTACCCCCATGGTCTTTCATACAATTATCACAAAAACAACAAACTTTCCACATAACAAGAAATTGGTCGGCATTGGTGCCTTCGACTCATGGATATGGTGAGAAAACTCACCTCCAACTACTGAAACACTCAGATAAATCTCTTCTTGTTGGTCCGATAAAATCCCCGTGCAATCATCATAAAATAGCATCCAATTAATAATTAGATTCTGAACCATAACCAATAGTCTACTTCTTCTTCTCCTTTACAAACCACCAATAAACAATCTTTAAGGCTCAAAACTCACAAACAAAATACATTAGGGTTTCGACTTTAGGACAAGGAGGGTGGAGGTTGGCTAAACATGACTAAATGAGGCTATCATAAGGTTTAAATATGGTGTAAACCCTAAAAATTAGGGTTCCATACGCCCCGTGTACGTGGTTAAGACAAGTGATCTAGAATTGCACCAGTACGCGCAACGTATAAAGAGTACGCCCAACATACTGCAACTTTCCTGGAGTTGGAAAATCTGCCCCTTAGAGACCAATTATGCACAACATTAACACACCAAGTGTCTAAAATAAAAAGTACTTTGAATCGGATGTTATATTATTAATGCATGGATTTTAAACATATATGATTTTTTGTAAGTATTAAGTTGTGAATGGATGCTTTTTTATAAGTTTTAGTTGTGATTAAATGAATTTTTATAAGTTCTAATTTTAATGTAAATTTAAACGTGTTTATATTATACCAGTGTTTTCTCAAATAATATGAATTTAAGTTTTTTAAGGTGTGAATTGTGATGAGTGTCTCAACTGTTATCTAATACAACCTCCAAGCCTCGAGACATCATCATATGTAATTTTTCACTTGTAAATATATTTTATTAAACTATCAATTTATATATTAAATTGTGAATTAAATGTATTAACTATTAAGTTGTGAATTAAGTATATTAACTTGTTATTTTTTTTTAATGAATTTTATGTTTGTTTCTAAAATATGAGATGAAAGAAGCCTTATAAGTATATTTTAGAAAAAAACATCATAAATGGTCCCTATGGTTTCCACAAATCTGAAGTTTAGTCCTCGTGGTTTAAAAACCCCATAGATGGTCCTTATGTTTTCAAAACTTTTGATGTTTGGTCATTTTTGCTAACTCCGTTAAGTTTGTCCGTTAACTGGAGGATATTTTCATCATTTCACCATCACAGGGACCATTTATGATTTATGATGCTTTCTCTCATTTCACCTCCTTCTTTCAGTTCATTTTCTTCGGCTTTTTTTTATGTAAATCAATATGGCTTAAAATTTGTGCTTTTATATATTTTTTTTTCGGTTTCAAAGAATTATCTCTGACATCTACTACTTTTATCTTTTATCTACCATATTCAGCAGAGATCAGTGAAGGAAGAGGTATTTTTTATCCATTATTATTATTATTATTATTATTTTTTTCCTGGGCTTCTGTTTTTGACTTACTTCATTGCACTTCGTGCACCATTGACCTGACTTTTTATTATTATTGTTTGCTTGATATACTATGAGCAGAAGGAGAAGCTTGAAGAGGGTTTTATGGTGGTGGCTTTTGGAGATGAAGATTTTGGGATAAACTTATCTTATTGTGGATAAAGATTTTGGGATCGAAGAGACTGTCCGGAAGAAGACCCAGAGAATCCCCTTTCTTCCACGTGTTTATTCCAGGTATATTCGTAAAACTCAAACCCAACTCTCAGTTCTTACTTTCGAATTGAAATTTAGGTCTATTTAAATTGGATTTTTTTTAATGTAAAAGAGTCTGTTAACATAACAAAAAAAAAAAAAAAAAAAAAAAATGATTTTGAGTAGGTCACAAAAATTACTATTACCCTAACTTGATATTACGCTCCCCCCATATAATTGTAAGGGGTATAAGACTTATTTTCAACTTATATGATTGGTACTAGGAATTTATTAAAATGTTATATCATCATTAAAACATTTTCACACATCTGTTGCCAATGGTAACAGATTACATAAGTATTCATGGTATTTTGACTTAATTGAAGGCTTTCAGGTGTGTAGTTAAGGGAAGTGGTCCATTTGACAGGAAAATATAGGACCAAAATCTTTTTATTTATTTATTGATTTATTTTTTGGTAATATGTTCCTCTTTGAAATTGACCCCCCACTTCCCTCAAACAATCTTTTGAGAGCAAGAAGCAAGAAAGTTTTTATAGATGTATGCTCTTTTATTTGTGTCAGTTTTTCTGAAATTCTAACAAGTTTGTTATCTTATCCTTAAAATGTTTGTTTTTACCAGCCAATTTGTGCTCTAGCGTGTTAGATGAGAAATCTATTGTCAAATATTCGGTTGTCAACAACTGCTCCTATGGCAATTATGTTAGATTTAGAAGCAATTGCAAAGGAATGGAGGGTTTGCTATAATGATTTAGCTGGTTGTTCGAGTATAGGCAACTGTGAAGAAGCTAAGAATTATAACGCTGGTGTACCTCTTCTTCATCTGACCAAGGGCTGCAACAGAGCATCTTTATTCTTACTGCATCTTTATGATTATTTCAGGAATATATGATCTCATACATGTTGCGTTTTATGTTGTTGATGCAATTTTATGCTGGTACAGTTGGCATACAATCACAACAATTATAATTCAACCGGTATAAAGAAGATTTAAATAATTCTTGAGCTTATATTCTATTTTACTTCAAGATTTTTATCATTTTCGTTTCCAAACATTATGATTTCCTAATATTTCATTTTAGATTAAATACTTTTCTTTTTTGTTGCCAAATTATGACATAAATCTCATTTTAAACATGTTTTTATTTTTTTTTAAAGTTTTTTGGCAGACTCCTAGTCCACTATTTTAGAAACTGACACAGTCTTAAGATGTACCTGTAGGTATCATTTTCTTTATTTTTTGGGAAGAAAAATATAAATAAATGATTTTTGTCTTCATTAGAGTATCATAATCAGTATTTTTTTTTTTTTTTCAATTTCTTCTAATTTCTTTACCAAAAACCCAAAATACAATGCCATTTGAATCATTTTCTATATTTTGGTTATAAATCCAGTAAATAGCACTGCACTTTCAATTTAAAGCTTTTTCCTCTTTTTTTTTTTTAAATTTGTTTTGATTTTTTTACCAGAAAAAGAAACCCTAAATAACAATGTACTTTGAGTTTACACATTTTGGTTATTGTTTTCAGCAATTGATTTGATTTGTTTTTACCAAAAACCAAACCACATTGCTATTTCTTGCATTTTTTATTATTTAGTTGGTATATGTACTAAATAGCAATGTACTTTCAGCTTTACATCTTTTTGTTCATGTTTTTAATATCGATTGCAAATACTAATCACATAGATTGCAGAAACAACAAAAAAGGTATTTATCTCCCGCTTATTCATATTAGATGGTCATTTTACACTTTTGGTTTTAAATAACACATACATAACAACATACTTCCCATTTTCCTACTACCAAGGGCAACATACTTTATTTTTTACTTTTAATATTAACTGATTACGTTCGTGTATCTTGCTATTATGACTTAAATATTAATAGTATTGGTTACATTTATTATATCTCCCAAAAAAACCAAATTAAATTGTTATCTCCTACAATTTACCCTTTTGTTTATTGACGTGTATTAGCAATGTGAAAAAATGTGAAAGAAACGAAAGTAGAAGTCTATAATATAATACACAAATAAATGAAAGTAGTTTGGTATTTGTTGTAGATTACGACATCATTTTGTTTGAATGATAATTACTACTTCTAATTTTTTTTTTTAATTCAGAATAAAATAGATCTCTTTTGCTCTGTTCGGTTCCAGAAAAGATGGAAAAGAGAAATAAGTGAATTCAAAAGTTTGATCTTTTGGACAGAAAGGTTTGTACATTTTTGGTTCTTTAGTATAGATTTTTTTTTTTTGCAATTTTGGTCCATGTAAAATGACCATTTATGCTTATTTTAACTGATTTTTGAGTTTTTGATGTAAAAAATATAGCCGTTTTACTTTGAATGGTGGCCAAAACGTTAAAAAAAATCCTCAAGTAAGCACCAAAGTTGCAAACGAAAGTTTTTGGAACCAAAATTACTCAAGAAAACTTTTTTTGGACTAAAATTGAAAAATTCAGCAAAAAATAAGCCCTTGATGCTTCCGAATTTGATTATAACCTCTGAAAATGGTTACATACACTTCATTATCAAAACACAAAGCAATTACCCAGCACTCGATACACGGTTCTGTGTCTGTCCTACTGTTTTCGTCTTCTCCAACGAAGAAATCAGAAGAATCAAGGTCCAAATTTTTTTTCTTTCTTTCCATATGAACATGAGTCTTTTTACACCGATTTGATAATTTTATCTCTCTTTTAATGGTTTAATGTGCTGTTACTTTTTTTTTTTTTTTTGGCAGAAGAACTTATGAGATCAGGTTTTGCGTGTTGGGGCAGAGGTATGTGGAAATGCTACCATTTATGTTAAATCTTAATACTTTTCTTTATATGGTGTTGGTTACTCATTCGATTTTATATTTTTTTTGACACTATGACCACTTTCAATTGCTTTCTGAATACAAATGAAATTTCGGGTGCTTTAAGCCTTTAACGCAGTAATGGTAAAAAACATTGTCCGTTATCATGAACCGTTATGTATCATGTGTGGTGTAAACATGAATGTCCTACTTGAAACTCTTTATTTATTTTATTTATATAATATCAAGTGCATATACTGAAATATTTACGTGAATCCAATCCATATACATTGACACCCGTGTGGATACCCAGTAGGAAAAACAATTTAAAGCTTAAAATGCATTCTGTACAGGAACATGTTAAGGTTTGATTGTTATATAAACCTTTAAAAATCCTGTTTGTTCTTACAATATATTTTTCCAAGCAATCCAAATTTGTAGGGTACATATTTGGCTGATTGTTCTCTTGTGTTTATTTAATTTACAATCGACATGTTTGATTTTGTTTCATCTTAAATTTACAGTAGAAAGTTATGAATGTTTACTTTCAAATACAGCCCATGTTCCCATATAAAGACACCCTGTTAAGAAATAGTAATGTACATGCAAATTGCAGTGAATAGCAATGTAGTTTACTGTGGCTACCATTTCAAGCAATGTATTATACTTTCACGGAAAAGTGACACCTTCCAACCCGCCAAAGGGGGGACACCTTTCTAGTTCTCATTAAATATATTTATTAAAAGAATCTAAAAAAATGAAATGTAGTGTGGGGTGACTATGTTCTTTAAGTTTTGGGGAGTGACCGAGAAGTGATATGCCACTTACATTGTTGAAAGAAGTGTAGGGAGACCACACACTTTGGCCTTATAGTTAGGTAACCCATTTAATTTAAAAAAATAATAATAAAGGGTTAAATGGAAAAAAAAAATGTGTTTTCATTGATCTGTTTATTATAGCATTGGACTTTCATTCATTCGTATTAAAACTTCATACCTTGAAAAATCTACCACTTATAGCAATATCATCCAAATACAACACAATGCTATGATTGAGTAGATTTTTCAAAATACAAAATCTTGATAAGATCTGAAAGTACAATGTTGTAATAGAAAGAACTGAAAGTAAGATGCTATAGCACACAAACAAATGAAACTATATCGCTATTTATTGCGTTTATAATTCTAACATTCTGGCATCAAATGTCGTTTGCTTTTATCATGTCTGATAAATATTGCCATTGCCAACACATTGAAAAATACATATTACACGATTCAACCATAGATAATTCGTTATTCATAATACAATATGACACAAATAACATACCGATTTCATAAAAACTTGTAAAGAAAGAGTAACTATCAAACAAAATCAACAACCACCAAAACTACATTGAATCACACCTAATCTTCAAATGCAATCAAAGAGATGAGGGATTCATGAGAAGGAAAACGGGAAACAAGTTCAGAACGTTTAGCCAACACAAAGTCTTCAAACTGGAACGCAGGTGCAACAGTGCACCCCACAAGAGAAAAATGTTCCTCTGCATTTCTGGGTGCATTCTTCACAACAACATTATCTGTTGATGAAGATATCTCATAGTCTTTTGTAGGAAACGCTCCAAACCACACATTTGGTGGGACGGTATACTGCAACAGTTGGTTTTCACTAATATCTTGTCCAATGCATGTTAACTTTAAACTCCCATCTTTCTCATCTATTTCCAGTATCTTTTTTGCAGAAAAAATGGTGTTAAAAACTCGAATCTAAACCCAAATAACCATGAAAGGCGATATAATAAGCATACCGTGAGAGGTTCGCCTAAATAGAAGTGCCATGTTTCTGCACTTGGGATACGATGGAGATGTGAGACGCTCCCAGATGGAAGTAAGAAGTATATCGCTGTACTGATGGGACGATCGACTTTATCTGTTGTTCGTAGCATAAAATCAGGTAGCAGAATTAGAAAAAAAAGACTTCTTGAATCTTTCGATTGTAAGAAAATGTTGAATCTTGAATCCCCTTTTGTGATTTGCTCATTTCAAACTAGGGCTCTCATTTACTTTCAAATCACACTATATATACTTTTAAAAAAAAACTAGTCATGGGTCGAAATCGATTTAGATCGATTTCTTAAAGAACCGGTGAAGGGTCAAATTGGGTTCATTGTTAATTTTGTTTTCCAGAACTAGTGATCGGTCAAAATTGATTCAACTACGGCTTCAGAAAGAAGTGAATCTTGAATTTATAAGTTAAAGCGATGCGAAGGTGATGTAATTTTTCATAAAGATGGTGGCATTATTCGATCAAGGAACATGATAACATACAGACTCGGATTGGTGTGAAAAGGTGAAGAGATACTTACATTCAGGGGGAAGTTGAGATGTGGAAAGGGTAATGGAAGTGTCTCTGAATGTCTCCGAGAAAAAACCACCTTCTGGGTGTGGTTTAAGGTTTAACTTTCCGACGACTTCTGATGCCATTGGAGCCATCTTTCTGTTGCTCTTCTTCAACTTTCAGGCGCGCTATATATTTCTTGAACCCACCAACCCCCTTGAATACCGATGTGACTTATCCACCCGCGTTGGCCTATTCGTTTCATTTTCGCAAGGGGGGACATGGATTTATAGTTTATAATAATATGGGTTCTTTAGTTTTGGCTATATTTGACAAAAGACAAAATTATAAAAATAGTTTTTTTTTTTTGGCAAATTATTAAAATCCTTGTTATGCTTTGATCAAAATTCTTATTTTGGTCCCTTATTATTATTATTATTATTATTATTATTTGCGTTTGAATTTATGGTTTGATTTTGTTGCATGTTTCGTTCTTTACATACATAAATCAATGACCAAAAGTGCAATTTTAACAAGACCATAGGGATGAAAAACATAACAAAATCAGACCACAATAACGAGCTAAGTGTAAAAAAAAAGTTAGAGACCAAATGGGTACTTTTGATCAAATCATAAATACGATTTCAATAAGTTGCTCTTTTGTTTTAAAAATAATATAAGGTTCAAGAACAGTTTTGTTAAATGTTTATTTGAATTGATACTTTTTTTTTAGAATTACAACTCTTATCTGTGATTGAAGTGTTATAAAGAAATTAAAACCGCGTGTATCCATTATGTTTCCCCAAGAGATTTGTAAACCCATATCAACCGATCAAGCTTCATCAAACTAATATGATTATTTTTTTCGCACCTTAGTATGTTTCCGATTGATTATTTTGGAGACACATTATTTTTTTATTTGTTTCTTGTAGAATGCAAAAGCTTGAAGGGTTGATAGGTTTTTTTTGGAGGTATTGTGTTTCCTTGACCGCCCCTTCAGCTAAATATTAGGGGAACCGATCAAATTGATTTTGTTTCTATGGATTTTTATGGTGTGTTCGACACGAAGCGTTTGAGAGCGTCTAACTTTTAGCGTTTAACAAAACGCTCCGTTTTAAACAGAAAATCTCGTTGACACTATAAACTTCCAACGTTTAGTTTAACAAAACGCTCCAAATTTAAAACGCTACCCGCTACCACTACCCGTTATTTTTACCGAACACGCCCTTATATATAGAGTTAGGATGGAGATGAGGTGGAGAGTTTTGCAATGGTAGAACTATGACATGATACCCTTCGGCTTAAATCACGAAGAAGAATATGAAATGGTACGTTTTAACAAAGCCAAAAAGTTAGATCTTTTTTTAGCAAACTTGTTGCAGACTACTACAAAAATATTTCAAACACCTAATTCATAATGTTAAAAAAAAAAAGCAAGTTCATGAATAAAAACAACAAATATCCATTTTTTTCCATCTTCACATTTTTGAATTTTCTTCATTTCTTTTCTAAACTTGGATTTGTTTACAACAATAGTATTTCTTTGAGGTACTTTGCTATCTTTCAACTTTGTAACTTTTTGAAAAATGATAGTTTTGTACATGAATATCAAATTAGGGTCGATCCACTAAAAATCATATTTTGGCCCTCTTTCAAACATCAAATTTAGAGACCTTAAAACATCCTTCCTTGGTTCAACATCTTCCAATATGTCCTTTTCGTTGAGGCTAAACCACAAGCACAAAGCACAAATAGTAAACATCCATAATAAGCTTGAAAAATAGGATTTTGATGACCATCTGCAAGTCAATCCTTTATTTGCTGCTCAAAATCGGTTTCTTGCTGTTGGAACACGATTTTGAAATTTGATAATCATATCTTCGAAGCTTGAATCCTTCTATGGGCGCTATAAAAGGTCGTATCTTTTTCTTGGGGGCTCGAATTAGGTTTTTAGCAAAATATAGTATATAAATGGAATATAGTGGTATTTTTAAACCACTTAAGTAAGTTTAATCAAGTTTGGACCAAAACGACATTATTTTAGACAAGTCACCAAACATGCGTGGAAAACCATAAATAACATCTTATTACGGAAGTATTTAAAACAAATCCAATACATCTATACCTTCTCACAACATGTATTTTACACATGATCCGAATCAAATACCCTAAAATACATGGACGTGGTGCCTTCTAACCAGAAGGTGTGATCATAGAAAGAAGCGATTGATAAGCAGGAAAAGAAGAAACGAGTTGAGAACGATTAGCCAGCACAAAGTCGTCGACCTCGAAAGCAGGCGCAACCGTGGTTCCCACCAGCGAAAAATGCTTCTCTGCATCCCTCGCTGCATTTTTCACGACTGAATAATCCATCGTCGATACGTTGTAGTCTCTTGTAGGGAACGCACCAAACCACACATCCGGTGGCACCGTATACTGCAGTCGTTGGTCTTCCCCAATATCTTGTCCGATGGTCGTTAACTTGACACTTCCATTTTTTTCATACATTTCCAATATCTGTTGCAGAAGATGACATTAATTATTGTTACTAGTTACAAATCAAATCTGTTGGAGAAGATGATGGATGTAATTACCGTTAGAGGTTCACCCATGTAGAAGTGCCATGTTTCTGCACTTGGAAGACGGTGGAGGTGAGATACACTCCCGGTTAGAAGCAGGAAGTATATGATTGTACTAATCGGACGACCGACCTTGTCTGTTTGAGGGTAAAATCAAGAAGATTAGATCAAGAGAATGATAAAGACTTTTCTGTAACAGTTGGTGAATCGACTAAAGATTACGAAAGAAGTAGGATTACTTACATCGAGGGGGAAGTTGAGAAGTGGAAAGGTTAACGGAAAAGTCTCTGAATGTTTCTGCGTAAAAACCACCTTCTGGGTTTGGTTGCAGGTTCAACCTCGACATAACTTGAGATGACGTTGGACCCATCTTCATCTTCTTCGATCGCCTGTTTCCTTGTGTAGAAACTGTGTTAAAAGCAAAAAGGAGAACATCTACAACCTACTATACCTGTTGGGACTTTGACCAGTTGTCGCTGACCAGCAGTCCGATGCACAAGGTCAAAGTTATTGAATATGTAGGGGTTGTTGGTGGATGTGTGGTTTTGACACATAATCTGTTTTCTCCCTCTTTTTTGTATATGTGTTTAGTTCAACTGATTGACTTTGTATCAAGCACAACAAAATCGACTATTCCGAAGCAAAATTATTATATTACTCTGTCTTTATAATTTTTAAATGAAGGTATTGAAAAAATACTAACATGCTGAATTCCAGTTACGGAAAAAATAGTTATTATAATATGGATAAACAAAAGTTAAAAGATGAAGTATTAGTTAATATATAGATATTTCATTTACACCAAGAATAGACCAAGCTTAGCTTGTTTTTCAACTATAGGGCCAGGCTTTGCTTAGGTGTCGGGCTGGTCGGATTTTTTTTTTTTCCTATTAATTAGGCGCGGTTGAGACTTGAGATGGGGAGGAAATAGGATGATCTATTGGGAGCATATATAATGTTGATAGACCGGATAAAAGTTGCTTGCTCTTGGATCCATTTTGTTGTATAATGTTGTAATATAAAAATTAAAGTAAGATTATATTATAAAACTCCAATAAAAATATGTTGCTATTTTTTGCATTTATTTTTAAGATATATTACTTAATTTGTCGGCATTAAGTACTATATTATAATATAAAAATGATTTTAGATGGGACAAGTATGTTGCAATTTCTTGTATTTATCCCTAAACTATCACATATTTATAATTTGTATGCATTACCTATAATCAAATGAAAATATATTTATCCTTAGAATATAGCTTGCGGGCTTAACATGACGATTTCTGTACCTATAAGGTCCACGTTTACCATGATTCCATCAAGATTGGGCTTTTTGTGGACCAAGCTGGGCTGGTCTGGCCTATTGTGCATGTTTAGAGTCGGTCTTAGAGTTTTTTAAATGGTTGTATAAGTATTGACCTTCAAAAAAACATGCCCGGTGGTTCTGAATGTGTTTACCATGCACCAAAAAACTTTATAAATAGTTACATAGGAAGATGATCTAAGATAAAGTTGAATAAAAAAATGTAATACTATGAGAATTCCATTAAAACTTACAGGATTTGAATGGGTTGGGGATGGCCAAACCTTTATGAGTGGGATATTAGTGTTTGTCTTGTCCATCGAATTAAGCAGAACAATAGCGTTCTTGAAAACTAAGAAATCATAACCCAACGATGAAACACACTTCTTTTGTAATTAGCAAAGCATATGTATACATATATGAGATTAAATTTGAAACAGTTTTAACTACTTGGTTAACTCAATCAAAACATACAAGTTTACAAAAACTGTGATTGAAGGAAGGCTAGTAACCAAAGCATCGATCACTGAATCTGGGTGCTGAAGGCCTGAAAATGAGACATAAATTAAGTTAAACAGATCGAAACACCAATCGCTCATATATTGATCATAAGAAGAAAAGTAAAGTAAAAAAATTAAGATGTTAACTCTACCGAGAAAATGTTGACATGACCAGGATCTGCAAGGTGTGCCGATAGGTTCTCAAGGGGACCTTGTCCGGTGTAAATGGCTTGGAATACAAAACCTGTAAACGCCAGCATGGCAAGCCGGCCGTTTTTGATCTCCTTCGTCCTAAGAACCATCACTGGCTCCGGCGACCCTCTTCCCCACATGAACGGGTCAAACCACAACCCACCGGGGTACCCGACATCCGGCTTTGGTTTCTTCCTGTTGGGAAAATTAGGTTCGATGTCAACGCTCCCTGGGTTGACCATGTCAGCCCATCTTCGACCTTCCACCCAACCCATCAAAGCTAATTGCACTACGAATAATGTGGTTGGGTCAGCAAAGTATTCTCTTGACCCAGCATCGAACCATGAAAAGTTTTCGATAAACCCCAGGCTTTCGAGCCACTCTGGGATAAGAATTCCCGCAACTGCCAGCATCGCCCATCTGCTGTGCATCAGCTCAGCTTGTGCAAACCATTTCAGTGTTTCTGGATCAGATCCTAATCAAGAAATAATTTTTCTCTCACGACTTTGAAGATTTACATAAAAAAGAAGACAACCCGTTGAAATTTGCGTACCTAAGCCGAGTGGGTCGAACCCAAAATCTCCAGGAAGGCTAAGATTTATCAAGAAAAATCAAGGAGGATATATTAAGCATGTGTATATGTTAATTGTCATGTATGAATTCAGATGGAAGTGAGAGGTTAAAGAATTGACCTGCCATCAAGCCATTCAGGAGGAGAGCTTCCTGGGAACCATATTGGTCTGTCAGCAGGAAGTGGTTCACATACACTTGATACGCCTCCTTTAGTTGCTTTAAGCTTCAATCCATGGCTGCTTCTCAACAAGTACCTTGGATTATTGCTCCTTCCCACAGAAGGTAACTTCGTGGTCAACTCTCCCCTTGTTGAGAGGGATGAATGGGAGGTGGAAGCAATGGTGAAAGCCATGGAGATTGCCTTCGATCTCTAAAAGGTTGGATGGTAATGGGAGACGATAATTTGTAGTATAATTGCAGAGATCGAAGAAGAAGATGACCAATGGTGGCACGTGTGTGGATGGATACGTGGGTCCGGTGAGTTTGTGAATTGCTTGTTTACTGTGTGTCTCGAAGTCATGGACTTGCGCATATTTTGTTCAACTTGGGATAATATGTGGGCTTGTATTTTTTTGGAAAAGTAGAAAACTCAAGAAATTCATAAAATTCACAAAATCATTAAGAACAATCTTTTAGTTATTAAATGTGTTTAGGCTACAAGGAATGACGTACCACTCAGGATGGATTTATAACACCGGCCATGTCACACTTCAACATGTTATAATATGAAATAAGGGTGATGTTCTTATGTTATAAAATGATATTAAGAGGAAAAAAGGATAATATGTGCATAAATGTGTGTGTGAGAGAGAACTCCAATTTTAATATGTTATGATGCCAATACCCCTTACCATAACATTGGATGGGGGTGTGCTCATTGTGTTATAACATCATTAGTCATTATGTAATGCCACATAGGATCTTAACGCATACCTTGTAGCCTTAATTTTTTTTTCTAAAATGACATTGGATGTGTTCGGCAAAATTAGTTGGTAGCAGGTAGCTTATAGTTTGTAACGTTTTGTTAAACGCTACATCAAGTAGCATTTGGATTTGAAGCTTTTTCTTTAAACTAAACGCTAGAAGTTTGTAGTGCCGAACGAGACTTTTTGTTAAAAACTGAGCGTTTTGTCAAACGCTAGAAGCTAGAAGCCCTTGAACATTCCGTGTCGAACACGATCATTAAAGATTTTATATAAAAAAACAAAAAACCATTAGTCAAAATGGAAACAAGACTCCATCAGAACCTAAGTACTAAGTACATGGAAGTAAGTCACTATCCAAATAAAACCTTAGACCCCAATTAGATATTTAACTAAAGAATGCAACAGGATAGACCCAAACAAATCATCTTTCGGAGGTTTGCTCTCTATAAAGTAGAGAGCATTTTTTAAACTTTCACGACTCAAAGTGTAGGGGTGACAATCTTAATCCGAAACTTTCAATCCAACCCAAACCCAACCCAACAAATATTAGGTTGAGTTGACGTCGTTCAGATGATGCTATAAAGCTCAAATGAATTGATTCAGGCTTTTCTTCTTCACTAACACTTCAAACTTCTTCCTAGATCTTCCCTAATCTCAAAATCGCCAACTACATTTCCCTCATAACTCTACCATATCTTTTTGAGTTTAAACAAAAGAAAAAGAGACTTATGTGTTAATTTTTCCTATTCTATACAATTAGTCCACCAACTAAACATCTACTAAATTGACCACTAGTTGGTTTGTTAGGCGTGTCAAACCGAACAAATAAATGGGTACGATATACTAAAAAAGAACACTGCCATATTGCACTAAAATATAGTACAAGGCAAGCAGGGCCGAACCACAGAGACACGGGACAACCAGTCTATACCTCTTTGCGCAAGGTACTTTGATCGCCAAAAGTAAAAAAAAAAAAAGGGGGGGGGGGGTTGTATGTTACAATTCAAATAAGTAATATAATGGAAAAACAAACGATTAGCTGATTAAAGGAAATTCAGAATTTTTAAGGACTCCAACTCTATGTGTAATGACTTAGCTATGTGATTCCAAGATGACATCATATTTGTTCAATTCTACCCAAATTGGTACTTGAAAATGTTAACAAGCTCTAACACTTCTCATTCACTACATTAATTAACCAAAACAAGTTCTATGATTAACTCTAACCTCACCAATCTAATCTAACCAAGCTCTTATAATTAGGATGAAAGATTGCATTAAGCTTTATGTGAATTTTTCCAAAAACATTCAATACTCCTCACAAGCTCGGAGCGTAAGAATGTGTGAATATGATTTGCACTAGGGTTATCAAAAGAATTCAATTTAGTGCTTGTTACTTGCTCTATTTCACAAAACAATTACGTATTTTGCAAAACAGATAACTTGAATGACCTAACCCTAATTCAGATGGCCAATAAGAATTGTAATTAGAATCAAAAATTCGATTAAGGCAAAATCAAATTCACTAGATAGAAATTAGAAACAAACATCAAATCACATGATTGAAATCACATGATTGAAATCACAACTAAAAGTCAAGACATAAAGTTTAAGAAAATAGGGTTCTAGCCACACATGGCTAGAACAGGATCACAAGTTAAAAAGATGGAAATAGTGTGCAATTACAACTTACAAATAAGAGAAATAATGTTTCCAAATGACAAATGATCAAACCCTTGCAAAAACCTTCAAAATCCTCTCACCAATAGTGCTCTGATACGATGTGTGTGTGTAAAAATGACCCTCGTCCCGTAATATATAGGAAAAATTGTCAAAAGGCAGATTTTGGGTCGAACACGGCCCGTGTCAAAATAGGCTAAACTAACACGGGTCGTGTTCAGCATGGTCAAAGTGGTCCGTGTTAAAATAGGCTAAACTGATACGGGTCATGTTCAGCATAGTCAACACCTTCTTCTTGGTTAAACACGCCATGTGCCGACTTTTTAGTGTAAATCTAACACGACCCATGTACTCCTCTGACTCCAAATCCAAACTTGATTTTTTCCGACTTTTTCGTTCTTCGCCCGATCATCCCGAAATCTTCACCAATGCTTCCCGGAACCTCCCAAAGCACGTTCTAACCTCCGGTTTACTTTAAAAGAACATGAAAACGTGCAAATAAGGTTGTTCTAGAGACTAGCATGAATTGGATGCAATGCACGAAAAATGAATAACAACTATGCTAAATAGATACACAAAAGGGACTAAAACATATGCAAAAAGGTGCACAAAATGCACCTAACAAATTTCTCCAAGCTTAGACCTTTCTTGTCCTCAAGAAATAACAAGAGTTGGATGAAACATGATGATTTCTAGATAGCAAAAAGAAACATAGAGCAAAAGGGGACAGAAGGATCCTAAAAGCTAAGAATGAATACATGCAATAAAAACGACCATGAAAAAGAAATACATGTACGAAAGAAACTTGAGAGAAATGAACCAAACAAAAACTTAAGAACACAAGTAATCTTTTTATTTATTTTTATAAATGTGAATATACATGATCAGACTTTACATCGATGGGGATCCAATCACTAATGCCTAGGCGATCATCATGCTACCTTTCATATATCACAGACTCCCAAAGTGAGGAAGACTACGAAACGGTGTAACCCAATAACCCAACCATAGTTTTATTTAAACTTCATACCTTAATTAGATTTGTGAGCGAAAATAACACAGTTTAGGATCTCATGTCCTTAAGACTAGATGCTCAAGAATCAGAATCGATGCATCCTTAAGAACCCGTCATTACCAAACTTTTCATTTTTGATATAACGATTCATAAAACAATTTAAAGAAAACATCATCAAGTTATTCCATTTCATAAAAACCATATACCATATGTCTCAAAAGCATGTCATAAAATAGTAACAATGTCAGAGTACAAATCCCAATAATCTCCTATGCGGAAAATTGTGTGTATGTTGCGTTGCTACCGTGCCAGCTCCTTTTCTGTCGCGGAAGAAGTTCCTGAAACCAAAACTGAAAACTGTAAGCACAAAGCTTAGTGAGTTCCCCCCATCATACCACATACCATACATAACACATATTGTCTAACATATCCGGGTACTAGTTACCCCTTCGGTCTTTTTCAACCGGTAACTTGCCTAACATATCAGGGTGATGGCCTACCCCTTCGATCATTTCGACCGGTAACTTGCCTAGCATATCAGGGTGTTGGCCTACCACTTCGGCCCCTTCGAACGGTACCTCGCCTAGCATATCAGGGTGTTTTCCTACCCCTTCGATCCTTTCGACCGGTACCGGGGACTATTTCACCCCTAATTCTACCACATAACATCCTAGTGCATAAACATATAATTTATATACTACCTAGCTTTTCTGGGTGCTGACATACCCCTTCGGCCCTATTGACAAGTATTGGGGTCTATCCTACCCCTTCTACCACTATTACATAGCATCATAGCCTACTAGCACACAAGCATAACAGATAGTGACATGTCGGATAATTATCACAAAGACAATCATCTCTACTATAACTCTTACTAGTGGGTCGGCATTGATGCCTTCGACCCCCTTCTACTAGAATGTAACTCACCTCAATGTCGCGTAATAGTTGAACTGTCCTTGGTGCTAGGATCTTCATACTCATAACCCCTTTAAGGGTCAACTCTGGTCAATGGTCAAAGTCACAGTCAACATCTTGGTTAAAGTCAACATCCTAGTCAAAGTCAACATCCCGGTTGACTCAACTCACCGAGTTGGTCCATCAACTCGTTGAGTTCCATAAATTCATAAAACTCTGAAATATCGATCCTACTCGTCGAGTTCTTTCATTAACTCGTTGAGTTCTTCCTCATAACGTCGTAGGGACCTTTTACTCACAACTTGCCGAGATCCTCCTTGAACTCGTTGAGCTCTCCTTCATACAGAGTCGGGACATTTTGCTCATAACTCGCTGAGTTCCTCCTTGAACTCGTCGAGTTCTTTAATCTTCAAGCCCAAAACATATCCAACTTGCTGAGTCATCTCCTAGACTCAACGAGTTTGCCCAGTAACAGAAAGGTTGGGTGTCCACAACCCAAGTCGCCGAGTTGTATGAACAACTCGTCGAGTCCCCCATAGTCTAAATCCTTACATTCGTTTCTAGTTGGGCTTAATGCATCCAAAACATAGATCTGGTTCCTTAGGGTTGGTATGTTACGTAAAGTTTCTAACTCTACGTCCATGCATGGATTATTTAGCTCAAAGGTTCTAAAAAGTGGTTCACATCTTGGATGGGACTCCTATGGCCATAAAGTTGGCACCTTTATGTCATGGAGTCCCTCAAAGGCTTTGGATCTGAAGTCATGACCCCAAAACATGCTTTCATCCATGAATGGTTCCAAAAATGGTAAATACAATCCTAAATGAAGATCTAAGCAATAGAAAGCCAAGGTATCAACTTTATACTTCAAATGAGTCAGCAGTGTAGCTAAACTTCCAGATCTACTGGCCCCCTCTTGAATCATCAAGCTTCTCCTTCCTTCTTAATCTTCAAAATCACCAACAACACATAACTATGGCTAAAAAACACTCAAAGATATATTAGGGTTCCGTAGCTAGGGTTTGGGGTGATGGAGGATGCAAATGAGGCCACCCTTTGGAGGTTAAGGTGCTTAAATAGGGTGCAAACCCTGAAGATTAGGGTTTCAC